CTCTAATTCTTCGATGCGGCGTAATAAGACGACAACTCTTAATAATTTTTCAACGGTCGAGGTTTAATAAATTTTCCAATGATCATCAGAGGCAACTTTAACCGTCCATGCTTGCGCATGGCATGAAAGTCAGACGTTCCATGTTTACTTTTTTTGTCAACGTATGTGTTGGTCGGTGTGTATTCGAAATATTGGCCGCTTTCGGCAGCATTGAAGATTGGACTTGGAAGCAAATCTTTGAAACACATTTGTTTCAAAAACATTGACGTACTCGTCAATAACTGCCATGTTGCTTGACAATTTCTCGCCCGTAATTTTCAGAAGACGAATCTCATATCTTTTAATGAACTTGTAGATAAAGCAACAACTTTCAAACTTACCCACACTAACCAATTCATTAAAAAAAATCTGATTGAACACGGAGCATATCCTGGCTCGCTGGAATGTATTGTTGTCATTTTTTCAACACAGATGTATGATGCTGAATCCACTTTTGGATAACTAGCTTGCTTGAATATCTTGCGATGTTCTGTAAACAAGAATCTTCAAGGTAACTTATCTGTAAATAAACCTTTAAAATACTTACCAATGTTTCCATGGATGTTCGCAATATTGTTCATTATCTTTGTTTTAGACTGCTGGATGTTGTAAATGGTAATTCGCGCTTTGATGCTTAACTTTTCCATCACATCTCAGATCGAAACACCATTCTCCAAATCTTGTATAATCTTCACTTTATAAGTGAGGAGAATACCCGATCGATTCTTCTTTGCTTTGGATTAATTATCAGAAGCCATTTTTTAAATTTCGATCTTAACGGTTTCAAGTTGAAGTAATAAATGTCAAAAAGTACACGCTTACGTGAATCTACCCACATTTATGTCAAAGTAACCTAGATTTAAACTGACCGTTTAATAGGAAATATTAGCGAAATATTGCTATATAGGGCGGGGATCGGTTTTGATACTTTGGGAACCTCTTACAAGCATGGCGTCAACAAAAGCTTACAGCTAAAAAAGAGCGTTGTAAATTGTTGTTAACCCCGGCGTAGTGGTTAGTATCCATAGCTCTCACGCCAAAGTCACGAGTTCAAATCTGACCCCGAACAAGTCACCAATGACCCAAGAGTGTTAAAGTGACTATAATAAAAAAATATATAAATAACCCCGTACTTAAATAAAGTTCCCAATGATTAATCCGTTCGCTATGATTGGTTTTTAAATCCATGACAAAAATTGGTCCCACTTCAAAAACTGTTACTATACCCTATATATAGTTCAGATGTGTTTATAATGAAGTAATTTCATTACTTCATTATGATGGCTACCAAGCCTTTGGGTTTTCCTTATTATAGAGTTGTATAGATTTTTCTCCTTTAGTTTACTAGTTGGTTTTCATTAGTTAGGTAGGTTCCGATTTAACACATTGTAGTTTCATTTTTATACCTGTGATCTTAACTTTTTTACCTATGGGATGAGTACTTAAGGGGGTTAGATTTTGATAAATTCTTCAGTGGGAATGATGAAGATGCACATTGTAGTCGAAATACGTATCTGTCATCGATACCAAAATTAATTAAGTGGAATTAAATGGAAGATAACCTTTTTTGCTCTTTGATTTATATGTTTAGTATTACTTCTGCGTGAAGCCAACGATTAGTTGAAGATGCTAATTTCAAATAACAGACTAAAGTGGTAATTTTTATACGATAGATGAGAAGGAGATGAAAGTATAGAATTGATAGTTCTGTTTAGAGTACGGCAGTGTGAAAATTGCATATAGAGAGTAGACAGCGAGCTAGGACAACTTTTAAGGAAGGTACACAAATCGGTTTTATCATCTCTCTTTTCCAAACTCCCCCTTTGGAGAGAGATGGTGAGAGGTGTCCCCCCCCGCCACCACTGGCAAAAAGAGATGATCGCCGACCGCTCAAGTACCAACAATGTGTTTGAAACAGTTCTACCGATTTTTACCGCACTCTAGTTGTTATTTGAAGGCATCCAGTCATAGGTTTTCAAACACGTATTTTGTGGATTTTAATGGGAATTTGAAAACGAGACACTATTTCCTATATGACACGTGTAAAAATAGCACTGAAAAAATAATAAATTATTATTGTTAAAATTGTTATGATGACTTCAGGAATATTGTGCATCATTATGATGCAATTCTTGAAAAAATACGCACAGATAAAACAATCTGTCACAAATAAAAATTGAACAAAAAAAAATTATATAACTAATATATTTTTTTTTCATCGAAATAAACAAAAATTATCAGCGTGTATCATTTTTTATCAGAATTACCAAATTAAAATGTCCAACTTTGCCCAAGACATCATATCAAGCGAGCTATCAGTTTCGACAATATTTATATTTTAATTCATTAGTGCTGTTTTTACACAGGCTCTGTTGGAAAAGTAGCCGTGACCCAATATGATGAATTGTTAACATAAAATTACATTTTTACTAAAAAAAAACAACTTGCAAAATTTCAGCTAAATTGGTAATGATCGTTCAGGATCGATTCGCGAGCCTTCGTGGAGTGCCTCAGGGGCAGGTAACTGTAACTCAAACTCGAACAGAACACCTTCGAATCGCAGAATTTGGTCGGAATACAGTATTAGAAACGTAAATAAAGAGTGACTCGTAAACAACCAGCCGTTCTAGCCTCCACCTCCTTCTTCTTAGCCTAGCTACACTTATTAATGCTCATATGATCATAGTAAGTATAAAATATGACATTTGCGGCAAAATTATATGATAACGTCTGTGATTTCTATACGCGGGTACAGTTTGTGAAAACCGAAAATGGAACATGTAACCAAATTATGAAAGATTTTGAATGTTAATAACTCAGCTGCCCCTGGACCATTTTTAATAATTTTATCACCAATTGATCAGAAATATTTCTTTATTTTTATTTCTTTTATTTATCTTTATCATTTTTCAAAATGTCACTATTGAAAATTGCACGAATGTGCAACTGTTGCTATGACAATTAAAATTATCACCTAACACAGCTTTCAAGCTGAATTCCATCTGGTCTCATCAAACGGTGTTTATTAAATCACCGCGTGGTGAGTGGTGGTGTCCTCCAGTGAACAGCGAAAGGCTCCCCGCAAGCAGCTAGCTATCAAGGCTGCCCTCAACCGCTGATCGGATTCAGTTCCAATCACCGAATGTGGTGATATCCGGTCGTCGGCATCAGCAGCAGTAGCAGCAATGCTGTTGGTGCGTATCGTTGAACATTGTTCTCCAGTACACAACGAAAAGCTGCCTGCAAACAGCGAGCTGCAGTCCACATGAGCATCCATAGAAGGATGAAGAAGCCGCACCGCTATTGATCGGAATCAGTAGCTCTTCATGAGTCACTGTGGGCCATCTATGCCAAGCGCGCCACCCTCATTTCAAACAACATATAGCTATCCCCCGAAGAACGCGTTACCCACTGAGTTGCACCCATCGTTTTTTCTCGGTGGGGTTTCAACCAGTTGGTCTGACTTTTTGCATGCGAGTAGGGTCAATGGAGAACTAGTCACTCGCAGAAAATCAGAGCGCTTGGTTTAAAACCCACCGAGACAAAGTGGTAACGCGTTCTTCGGGGGAAAGCTGTACAGCTCACCAGCCTAATCTGTGTTTAAAACCCTAATAGCTCAGGATTACTCAACCACCACGACAAAACTGTCCTATTCAGGACCACCATAAATTTGTAAAAGAGTATTTTTTGGACATTTTTCAAGATCATCAATCGGATGTCAGTTTACATATCAAGATAGAGCTGGAATTTGGGTGTAACAGCTTTAGTAAACAATCACTTCTTTCGATGATGTCTTGAAAGTCAAGGCTCGCCCGCGCAAATCAACATCATCATCAGGTAGGGTAAGACCCATACCCATACCCAACGGTAATGTTGGTTTGCGTGGGCGTGCCATGAATTCCTAGAAATCATCGAGAGAAGTCATTGTTTACAAAAGCTGTTATGTTCTCACTCCAGCTCTTTCTAAATATGTTTAAATATAACGTACCATGTAATTTAAATCAACATTGGCGTGCAATTTCAAAAGCCAAAACTGATCGCGGCAAGAAAGTGGTCTGATTGTGATCCAGAGATGATGGATTTTAATTCTTAATGCGCCAATCGATAGGATTTTTTTTCTACAAATCTGTTAAAATTAAGACTTTTTCATTTTTCAAAATGTCACTATTGAAAATTCGCACGAATGTGCAACTGTTGCTATGATAATTGAAATTATCACCGATTGCCAGCGAAATGCAATTTATCTAACACAGATTTCAAAGTTTTATTCCATCCGGTCTCACCAAATTCAATCACCGCGTGGTGAGTGGTGGTGTTCTCCAGTACACAACAAAAGGCTGCCCGCAAGCAGCGAGCCGCAGCCCCCATGAGCATCCATAGGAGTAAGAAGCCGCACCGCTATTGATCGGAATCAGTAGCTCTTCGTGAGTCGCTATAGACAATCTATATCAAGCGCGTCATACTTAAGAGTTTAAACAGAGAGAACCCCGCTCAAATTCCTATTCCTACACAAATCACAAGCTCCTGCGGCAGTTAAAAAACCAGATTTATTATACAAGACCACGTAGTCATACGTCACCATTGCGTACAACCCCATAGGGCTGTCCCTTGTAGTTTTTTTTTAATTAAAAAGTGCAATTAAAAAAATCAGCTTAGGTAATCAAGTTCAAAATTAAGGATAATCGAATCGAAGACAATCGAATCTTGGACCTGTATTATCTTTTTTAGGTTCGTCCAGAACAACACTGTTGACCTCAGCAATATTTTGTTTAGACTTATCGCTGAGTTCCTGCACTTTTTGCGATTATGAGTAAACTGAACTCAAATTTGGGTTGATATCATTGACCGTGTAGTTGATTAATCATGTTTATGTTTTCTCCGCACACCCACACAAGCTTGTACCAAAACTGAAAGCTTCCCCGGCTATATGCTACTGCTCGAATCGAGCACCCAAAGCTTACCTTGGTCTACAGCTTCCATCTGCTCACAAGCTGCTCGATGCAAGCCGATTGCATGAAAGAAACGGAAGCAAACATTCATTAGTGCGCTTTCACTGCGTGCAATGTTCCACACAACATTCAATCATTTCCTCTAATTTGTACACATCGAAAGCTTTCAATCCACAACTGCTCACCAGACTATGGTGCAACATAAAAGTGTGCTAGGCATACATTTTGAACTTGCGAAACGAAAAAGCACGCACAACATCCTAGGAGTGTAATCAAAGCCTACGCTACCTTCCCTTATTACCTTCCCAAACCTCTTCACAGTCTTCGGTAATGGCCTTGGACTCGATACCGTTCTTGACCTCGTTCGGACTGATTCCCTGCACGACCAGATCCATCCGGGAATCGAGCGAAAACTGCTTGCCGGACATGAGGATTCCCCGTACGCGGCGTCGCATGGCCGGTGAATCCTGGTTCTGTTCAAAGGTTCGAAAAAATCAATACAGAAGTTTATTGAAATCCAATCGAATATTACCGAAATCCGAATTCCAGCGTAGACCTTGGCCAAAAACTCATCGGCATCGAAAATCGCAGCAAAGGATCCATTGACAATCTTTGGGGACATTGGCGAGTTGGCCAGCAGCAGACTCGACCCGAATGCTTCATTCTTCTCGCGGGTATCTAGAGATGGGAGAATATAGGCATTTTCTGATTGTGAACACTACTGCGTTGCAACTAGATTCGTTCGAACTCCCAAGCGAAAATATTGCTAGCGATAATTTGAAATACAAATACTGGTCATTGTAGACCTGCTCACCCTAAGGGCTTAATTAAAAGGTGACACACAAGGAAGAAGAGTTAGTTTATTTACTAAAATGAACTATGGTAAATTTTGCTATAAACAATGCTCCTCGTGTTTATTCGTGAAATTTACATCAAAGATTGATCTCATGCGAAGAAAATCAATTTGTCAAGGAATTTGTGACCAGCATACACCTTTCGGTCGTATGAAACAGGTCCAAATCTGTTCAAATCCGCCTGTAATTTTTTTATTTGGCATTTTTTATGGCAAAATAGTGAACTTTTCATGAACATTAACGGCAAATAATTCACCAACACTAGCGGATCGTGAGTTCTTGACCACCTATACATACACCCATCTTGTTGCTCACCTTTCAGTGGAACTCTTCTGTCGACAATCTTCACATCCAATTCATGCAACAGCTCACTTGTAACCAATTTGATTTCATTCCAGTCCTTCAAAATGTCCTCGTTGGAGGTGTAGGTTGACGTGATGGTGAATCGAATGACGTACTTGCCCTTAAGGGACGCCGGAACGGCATGCTGATTCCCACGGTGATTCAACCGCTTCAGCAGCTTCTCCGTCAGTTCGTTATCGCCTTTGATTCGGAACACGACCATCCCCAAGTGCCTGGCAGCTGGAATCTCAAAGCGATGATCGGCCAGAACTAGAGCTTCAAATTTTTGTGCTAAGCGAACTCCCTCACGGATGTGCTTCTGAAGCCCCTTGATTCCGAAATTACGTAGAACGAACCACAACTTCAACGCCCGGAAGCGTTTGCTCAGCGGAATTTGCCAGTGCTGCGTGGAGTGCGGGGTGAGAAGTTAGTTGATTTTGAATACGCTTCTAACGTTTTAAAACTTACCATGTAATCGATTGCCATTCCGGAGTTCTCATGCTGAAGATACAAAGGCTCTACGTTGAAGGTCCTGTGCAAAGCTTTACTGTTTCTCACCCTGGAATAGAAGACAACTGATTAAATTAAAACCATCCACCTATGAACTCTTCTACTTTCAGATCTCACCACATCGTAGTGCAGTCAAAGTGCACCATCAACCACTTGGAAGGATTGAATGCGATGGAGTCGGCCTTGGTGATGCCTTTCAGCCAGACACGAAACTCGGGACAGATGAACGCACTTCCGGCGTACGCAGCATCCACATGCAGCCAGACCTTGTACTTCAGACACACATCTCCAATGTCCGATAGGTTGTCGAAGGCGCATGCTCCCGTCGTTCCCAGGGTGGCACAGACCTGTGATTGAATTAGTTATTAGTTCGAAGACGTTTCTTAATCATTTAAGAGAAACATTCACTCAAAAATATATCTAGTGATTTTTTTTTCTCTGGTTTGTTTTGCCCGTCGATCTTGTTTTCCGTGCTGAGCACCAATGCTACCGACGTGCCAGGAAGCCAGCTCCCACACCTGGACCCTACCTATCGACCCATCAACTCATGAACCGGGGACCAACGGCTTTACTTCCCATCCGAAGGAAGGCGTGATCAGAGATGTTATGCCTCAGAACATCCCGGCGGCGCCGACTGCGATTGAACCCAGGCCTGCTGGGGTGAGAGGTAATCACGCTTACCACTACACCACCGGCGCCGTTCTATCTAGTGAATATATTGCATGATAAAAAAGATCTTTTTGCTTGATGATGACCAATCAGCAGTGGAGTTTCTTCATTCAATGCTTATGGTATGTTTGGAGGCATACTCAAATGATCAAATCAATTTCAGACCCCACTTTTCCCTCGTAGCATTATGCTAATATGTACTACAATTTTATCCACAATTCTATCCTCGACGACAGTATATTATCCAAATGTTTTCATGTTTCAAACTTTTTTTTTCAGAACCGTGAGTTTTTGTGTTCTGCTTTTAGATACCGTTCCGATTCAAATTTCGGACGATTCAAATTTCGGACACTTTCATTTTTAATTAAATATTACATCCAGTTAGAAACAAAGTAATAATGTTAGATGATCGTGGAGGGCACTAGTCAAAAAAATTAAAAATTTACAAGACATGTGGATCATATTCGACCGAGATAATCAACTTTTAAAAGTGTCCGAAATTCGAGTTTAAGTGTCCGAAATTTGAATCGGCACGGTAACTTAAATGAATTTCATTTCAAATAAGATCAATAGAGTACAGATAATTTCAGCAAAATTTACAGAAGCTAAAGAAATTTAATATAAAAAATCATTATTATTTTCCGTGGAACATTGCACAGGATTTCAAGTGAATCTCCTTAGAATCATTCCAGAATTTCTTCAGAGTTTGTTTTTTTTTATAAGTGCCGTAGAACAGGTATTGTTAAGCTGTCTATTCAATGGTCACTTTTAATTTACAAATTCTAGGTGAACCATTGTAGACTTATGAACAAGTGTCACACTTATGAACAAAGGTCACAGTGGGCCAAGATGGGATATTTAGCAAGTTCTTGTGCTGTTGTCTTAAGCTATAGAGGTTTAGTGTCTTCTGTAAGCTTTTTCAGCAAAAAATCTCTTAATTTTGGCTAGAAACAATTGTTCTATCTCTTATCGTTATTGTTTCTCAAATTTTATATTTTAAAAACACCCAACGTCTATTCAAAAAAATGTCTCTAAAATGAGAAAAAAAGGATAAAGGCTGGGTCCAAAGCACGACCGCATTGTTGACGTAGAACTACGAGATTATTTTTGCTGCTCCATGTTCTATGCAATCCTTATGCACCGTGGGTGTAGGGACACGCCTTAACAATGCATACAATTGCATACTGATTAGCATCGACAACCTTGGATCGGGCTGAACGGGAGAAAAGGAAGACGAGCTGGTAAACGGACGGTGGAGATGATCGAGTGCTCTAAATAAAGAAAGAGGATTTTCATCTGGAAACGATAACGAGTGGTTGTTAATTGTTTAAGAAGGAAAAATCTCTACATCTGGCGACGACAATGGAGAGAATAATAAGTATAATAAGTGTTAAAGGGAGAACCTTTAAAGAAAACGCTAGCAGTCTGTGAAAAAAACATAGGTTATGTTACCCATGCCATTCACGAAAAAAAAAACAAATCTATCGTATGATAAACTAAGGTTCAATTTTGAGAAATTTGAAGTGCGGGAGGGGACTATGGATGTGATTCCTGCGAGGAGGTCGATGAAAGTGATTCCTCCGAGGAGGTATATATGTATAAAACAAATCCTCTGAGGAGGTAGATAAAAGTGCAACACTTCTGCGGAGGTGGAAAATGCGTCGCTGTTAGTTTAGTGGAGAGTTATTTTCTGAGAATGAGGTTATCACGCCAATAGGTTTTAAAACAACACACGACTAACAATGTTTACGTTGATTTTTTTATGCATGTTCCAATGTGGAATTCATCCTGAGGGATGATATTTGTTGTGATTGGTGAATTGCAAGATGAGTAAATTTGATTTCTATCTAATTCTAGATCGACGAAGCGCGAGCGCTTCCAGCATTCCGATGCGAAGAAATTGAAAAAAAAATCATTTGGCGAAAGAATGGAAAGCTTGGAAGTCCGCATTGGAAATTCATTTTGACGCGTACGACGTGACGGACCAAAAGGAGGGCGAAACTGTTGCATCTGGGCGGAAAGCAGTTGCAGCGAGTGTATGACAATCTACCGGATGTCGACAAAATTCCACTAGTGGCAACGAAGATAAACTGGTACGATATAGGTGTTGAAAAGTTGGACGCATACTTTGAGCCTGGTCGTCAATATATTTTGGAACGCTGTCGGTCGAGGAAGATTAAGCAAGAACGCAATGAGCGGTTTTCGCACTTCGTGATGCGCATCAGGCAACAACTTTCTGATTGTGGACTGGAAAAATACTCTGTGGAAGTGAAAGAAGTTCTTGCGGAAATTTTTGCAATCGATACCATCGTTGAAGGATGCCTTTCTGATGAACTACGGCGCCGAATTCTACAAAAAGATAGATCATTATCGGAAATTGTGGAAATGGGTGCGATGCTGGAAGGAGTCGAGCAGCAGATTAGAGATATTGGAACGTTGAAGTCTCCGGATACAACAGAAAAGGTGTTTTAAATGGTCATTATCTTGTCCAGCTTTCTGGGGGTGACACTACAGGATGTGGGCCTTCAAAGCTTTAAATGAAAGCTGTATTGAGCCACACCAGCACCGTAATGGAAAAGGATTGAGATAACCTGAAACTAACACAGTGCATCCGGAAACAAAACAAGATAATGCTGAATGAATTACAGAAAAATCAAAATAAACGAAAAATAATCTACCTTTCAGTTTTCCGTACTCTTCTGGGTTCAGTTGGTTTTTTAGGGCTTCCATTTTCTCGATCGTCAGAAAAAAATCCTATTCGCATGAACATGCACCAATCTTATGGGAAATCTCTACTCCCGTCAAATATAACTGATTTGCACTTACAAAAAGGTCGTCACTTTCGCACTGAATCAATAATGAATCTCTTTTAGTCATTTTTATTCCAGAACAAGTTTTCAAAGAAGATCAAAAAGTACCCATTTTTCAATATTACGAAAATACTCATTTTTTGACATTTTAGAACCAGTTCTAAAAATGTGTACAAGATACTCACTTAATGGGTACTCTAGAGTTAGCGTGTAACAAGATTTTTTTTTTGTTTTATTTTTTTTTGCTGTGATTTTTTTCGGAGAAATGATTTTGTCATATTTTTAAAACAGTATAAGAAACCAATCTGATAGTGATTTCTAAAGTTATTCAAGTTTGGGGCTGTCTTTCCGGGACTCTGAACAGAACCCGTGTCATGAAGTTTTTTCGGAGCTTCAGAGAGCAGCAGCTCCGAAAACAAACTCCTCCAGTGAACCCCCGACGTTATTTCGTTTGCGACGACGTCACAGAGAAGCGAATCACAAGGGATGATCCTGGGGACTCTTTTAGTGATATTTTATATTAGTTGAACCTGATATGGATGATCAAAATGTGAAAATTACAAAAGGATAACAAATACAGGACTACAGAAAATTCTCCCTGAAGAAAAGGAATCACTGTGAATCGGGATGTACTCAAGGAGAGGCAACATGCTTATTCTGTTGAATAGTACCAGGTGGATATCATCCTGATTCAAGCAAGAAAGGTGGACCATGAAAGTACCAGTAGCACCATGCAATTTCATTCTGTTGACATTGCTCATGGATTCATTTGGTGAGTTCGTTTCTTATTATTAACACTCTGATTATGATGGTCAGTGGTGAATGGTCACAAACATCTGTAGAGTCTGGTGAGAGCTTACCATTTATTTAATTTAAATATTTGTTCAGCAGACGTTTGATTTAGGCACGGTTCGATTTTAGCAACAAAATTGCAAAACCATTCACTTTTGGCACGGGGTTTAATTTTGGCAACGACCCAAGATAGAATGGAATTTGAAAATAGTGTGTTTTTGCTTCTTGTGATTACACCTTTTAATAAAACATTTATTATTAGCAACGTCTATGTCATGGCGATGCCTCGCAGTGGTCCGAAGTCAACAAAATCATAAATTGAATTTCAAAATAAAACCGTTCGATTTTGGCAACACTAAATTTTCGGGCTTGCTATTTAACTGCAAAGGAATAGGTGGATTAAAAGTTTGTTAATAAACGTTTTAAATCTTGTACGCGAAAACCCAACCCTCTTACCTCGTGGAAGTGCAGAGGATTTCTCGGCTTCCATCAAAGCGAGTGTCACGTCAGCATATTTCTTCCCATTCCTTTCTTGACCTGCGTTAGGGCGCGGCCGGCGCTGGTATTACCAAGTTTGAGATCACCAGTTTTTACACAATAAAGATGATTGCTAGTCCCAAGCATCAGGATTTTCCAGTAATCAAAGGATCACATTTTAGTCCTTCTAAATTTTTATGACTTGATATTAGTGACAAGATACGGGTAGAGACCACGTGCATTTTTATATTGTATATTTCAAATCAAAAATATTGTTTATGTTCATTATGATTCCACATAATCCTTTTCCCTTTAACCTTTGTCCGTCTCCTTTCCTTTCCCTCATTTCTTTTCAGAAAGCGAGTATTGGCGCTATAGCCATAAGTCATAAAAGGCTAGGACAAGTGCTAGTGCTCATGCCCCAACCATCAGAAGAAAATGGAGCATCATTTAACCTCTCTAGCTTTGATGCTTCCAACGACCAGCCAATCATATAATTATCAAAATCGGAACGTACGGTACGAGATGTCCAACGGCGCCGGTGGTGTAGTGGTAAGCGTGATTACCTCTCACCCCAGCAGGCCTGGGTGCAATCCCAGTCGGCGCCGCCGGGATGTTCTGAGGCATAACATCTCTGATCACGCCTTCCTTCGGATGGGAAGTAAAGCCGTTGGTCCCCGGTTCATGAGTTGATGGGTCGATAGGTAGGGTCCAGGTGTGGGAGCTGCCTTCCTGGCACGTCGGTAGCATTGGTGCTCAGCACGGAAAACAAGATCGACGAAAAAACAAACCAAAGGAAAAAAAAAAGGTACGAGATGTCCACATTTCATCCATTTATTTGATTCTGAAGCATCGTGTTTAAATCTTCGATTTAAACAGGCCCGATGTTTTCTGAATCATCTTGTCCCTTAAAGGCTGCACTGTAGGCCTGGCCGTTTTGATATGTTTGACGCATCTTCGATGTGAAACATGTATCAAATAGACAAGAAAAATGATGTAGGTATATATATATCATTTTCCAGGATGCTTTCAAGAACTGGCTGTGTTGGCGTTAGATTAGATTAGATTAGATTAGACTCTAGAGTTAGCGTTTAACGAATAACAATAATTAATTAAAGTAAATAAAAAAAACCTGCTTACCTAGCTGTGTTACATTGATTGATTGACTTATTATTGGAATATTTCTCAACATTTCAGGTGAAAACAGGTCCAACAACGTGGGTGTCGCCTTTGGTAGTGGTGGACAAAGCCAACGGTGAGCCTCGTTTGTGTTTGGATTTGAGAAGGGTGAATGAAGCGGTGGTCAGAGAGCGATTTCCAATGCCGATTGTGGATGAATTATTGGCTCGAATTGGAACAGGAAAAGTATGTAGCAAGCTAGACATCCGAGAAGCATTCCTTCAAACGGACCTTGCGCCCGAATCTCGTGATATCATAACTTTCATAACAAACCGGAGCCTTTTCCGATTCAAACGGCTTCGTTTCGGACTGGTTTCGGCTCCGGAAATTTTTCAGAAAGTTATGGACGAGACTTTGTTGGAATGCGAAGGAACAGTTTGCTATCTAGATGATATATATATAGAGGGAAAGGACATGGATGAACATGACAACCGCCTAAAGATAGTATTCGATCGTCTTAATAAGCGCGGTGTTGTTCTGAATGTTCAGAAATGTATAATTAGAGTGTCAGAACTTCAGTTCTTAGGTCACGTAATCAGTTCGTATGGGATGCGGCCGTCTTCATCCAAGGTAGAAGCTCTGCTGTCTTTTCGTCAACCGGAAAACGTAGCCGAAGTCAAGAGCTTCCTAGATTTGGCTAATTACTTAAATAAATTCATACCAAACCTAGCTGCTGTAGATGAACCACTCAGGAGATTGGTGTATCAAACGATGAAATTCCAATAGACTCAGGAACAGCAGCACGCGTTCGATACTATCAAACAAGCTATGACGAAAGAGAACAACTTGGGATACTATAACTGCAAGGACACTACATCGGTGATTGCCGGCGCGAGTCCTACTACATTGGGAGCTGCTCTTATTCAGACGAACAACCAAGGAGAGAACCGTGTGATCTGCTCCGCTTCCAAATTATTAACCAAGACGGAGAGGAGATACTGCCAGACAGAGAAAGAGGCGTTGGCATTAGTCTGGAGCGTTGAAAGATTTCAAATGTATCTCCTGGGGAAGCCATTTGATCTAATAACGGATTGCAAGACATTGACATACCTTTTTAACCCTCGTTCGAAACCGTGTGCGCGAGTAGAAAGATGGGTTCTCCGACGGTTCCGGTATAACGTTATATCAGGGGAACTGAACATAGTAGATGCGGTTTCCATTTTATCTATGCTGAGACCCGTGCCTTTCGATGTTGCAGAAGAACTATTCGTGAACGAAGTTGGACGCGCAGCTGCTTCAACGGCAGCTATCCGTTGGGAAGAAATGGACCGTACGTCTGACCAGGACGAAGAAATATCAAAAGTTTTTGAAGCTCTTAGCAGTATACGTTTATTTGAACTACCAATTGAATACCGCATCATAGGTAGAGAACTGTGTCGCGTTGGTATTGTGCTGATGAGAGGGGATCGAATAATTGTACTTAGGAACCTGAGAGATCAAGTGCTTTCCCTCGCTCACGAAGGGCACCCGGGCACCCGGATGATGAAAAGTCATCTTCGGTCTTCGGTGTGGTGGCCCAAAATAGACTCCGATGTTGACTCGTATGTGAAACGTTACAGAGGATGCTTACTCGTGTCAGCTCCAGACGCTCCTGAACCAATGAGCCGACGAAGCTTACCTGCTAGACCGTGGGAGGACGTGGCAATTGATTTCTTAGCACCATTGCCAGAAGGACAATACCTGTTGGTTGTAGTCGATTACTACAGTAGATACTACGAAGTGTGTGAAATGACCACGATCACGGCTGAGGATATAATCGCTGAGTTGATAACGATTTTTAGTCGCCACGGAATACCGGTTACACTGACTGCTGACAACGCACCACGACTAAGTGAAGAATTCGAGAGGTTCTCCAAATTTTGTAAAGACTATGGTATTTTACTAATCAATACCGTCCCTTACTGGCCCCAAATGAACGGAGAAGTGGAACGCCAGAATAGAACAATACTAAAGCGTCTAATGATTGCTCAAGAATTGGGTCAGGATTGGCGCAAAGAGCTTCAGAAATTCCTTCTGATGTACCGTGCTGCTTCTCACTCTACACACCAATTTTCTTAAATCTTGTTCGGTACTTTTTTTGCTGGATTTGTTCGGTAAAATGTAATTTTTACCGAATCCTTTGTAAAAAATATTAGTTTACCAATTTTCCGCAATCAGAACTGCTGAATTTACATAATTTACATACATTTACCGAAAACTGTCATCAATAAAAATTGAAATGTTTATGATTTATTATGAAAAGAAAGTAAAGTCGATTCGGTAAAAAATATGCTGAACGCTATGGTAAATTTACTGACCTTTCAGTAAAATTTACAGTCCAGGTTAGTAAATTTTGACAGCCCATACAAGCGAAGAAAATTTACAGAACAGATTGTAAATAAAAAAAATTACCGAATGGATTACCGAATGTTCAGCTGTTCCATATTCGGTAAAAAATTACAGTATACTGTAAAAAAATCTTAGTGTATACGACGGGACGTTCGCCGGCAGAGCTACTATTTAGAAGGAGAATACGAACTAAACTTCCACACATTACGCCTACCTGTGACGATGAGAAGGTAAGGGGTCATGATTCTTTGGTAAAGTAGAAAGGGAAGGAATACAGTGACAACCGCAGACAAGCACGAGAAAGTAAGGTGCTAGTGGGAGACCGGGTGCTGATGAAAATATTTAAGAGAGACAACAAGCTAGGCTCCGATTTTGTCAATGAGGAATTTGTTGTGCTCACAAAAACTGGGTCTGATGCTACAATAAAATCTACCCTGTCCGGGAAGGAGTACAGGAGAAATACTGCTCACATGAAGAAGATCCTCGAAGGAACCGACAAGAGGATTAATAATGACAATGCATCGGACGGAACACTGACGGCAGGCACATCGAAGGGAGCCAATGCTTCTGGCATTATTAGTTCTGTTAACACACAGGGTTACACACAAGCTGCGAATAAATTTGGGAGTAAACGACAACGCCAGGAACCATCGTGGTTCCGTAGTTATGTGCCGTATTAGATCAGGATGTTTAAAGGGGGATGTAGGGACGCGCCTTAACAACGCATACAATTGCATACTGTAATGGAGCACACCTGATTAACATCGACAACCTTGGATCGGGCTGAACGGGGGAAAGGGAAGACGTTATTGAATAAATCCTAAAATTAAGAATCAATTTTTTAAATTAGAATATCATTAAAATTAGACCAGCCAGACGGTGGATCTCAGAATTTTGAGACCACGGGGGACTCTTGAGGATCATCCTAAGGATTTTGTTCTGGATCCTTTGGAGTTTGAGCTGATGGCACTTAGCACAGCTCTCCCATATTGGGGTTCCGTACTCAATTGCGGGGCGGATGATTTGCTTGTGGACCACAGGCTTGTTTTTAATGGAAATGGTGAACTTTCTGTTGATAAGCGGATAGAGCGATTTTTAAATGTAAGCAATGCATTGATATACATTCACAGTAGTTTTGCGTCTGCCAGTTCCATCTACCACAATCCAACCAACCATATGCTTTCCCACGCATAATACAACCTGTTGATTCCCCTTCCTATAATGCTCAGTGTACAGAGCAGCCGAGTGCTCTCCCTAATTAGACCACTGGGGAAAACGGAAAACTTTACTAAGCAGATTTGTCAATCACTTCCACCCGCTGCTGCTGCTGCTCCTTTTGCACTGTAACCAACGTTAGAGAAGAGTAAACTCATCAACTCACCCAGAACGGAACCAGTCCCTGCTTGATGTCCTCCTCGATGGCTTCCTCCAGGGCCCGGCCGCTTAAAGTGAGATTCTCATCAGCTTCAATGAATCGCATCCGCACCAATCCGATTAGGGCCGCCTTCTCGACGCTGGAGTGGGCCTGGTCCGAGCAGTACGCCACCAGCCGAGCGTTGATTTCTGCATCCTGCTGGCCGGGAGTATGCTCGTGAAATTTCCTAATAGCTTGGGTTCTTCCCGCCAGCAAACAAACGAGCGTAGCTTCGCTGGCTGTCGTTTGAATCACCCCACCTCCCTTGCTGACGCCGGGTATGTGTAGGAAATCATCTGGCAGACCAACCATCTTACCCAACCAGTTCATGACGATTGATTCCAGCTCGGTGCAAGCGGGCGATGATGCCTGGAAAGAAGTATACATTTACAACCAAATCAAAGTTTATTGAAACGAGCTGCAAATCCCGCCCCGACTTAACCGGACTTACCCATGTAAATCCCAGGCAATTTATGGCATCGGCCAGCATATCGCCGAGCAGCGACGGGAACGAGTTGAGCGCCGGAAAGTATGCATGCATGTGGGGGCTCTGCCAGTGCGTTATGCCCGGCATGATTACCCGCTCGACGTCGTCGATGATCGCCTGCCAGGGTTCACCCTCGAGGGGGGCCGACTCCGGAAGCAAGTGGGCCATGTAGCCGGGCTTGACGTCCGGAAGGACGCGTCGCTCGCGAATGTTCTGCAGATAGTCGGCAATGTAGTCCACCATTTCCTTGCCTGATCGGGGAGGGAGGAAGATGTAGAAATGTATTATCAAATGGGCGTAATCGAAATTACTCATTCGAAATGGACTGCATTACGTCATATGACTGGCAAATGACTGTTAAATCCCTGCTTTTCTCTCGGTAATGTGCGTTTAAGGCCCAACATAAAACAGGCAAATTAGTTGTAATTTAGAGGATTCGTATTTGTTGATCGTCATCGGTTGGTTTGGAAATTACAGTGAGAAAGAAACAACATAATATTCATGACATTTCATAGTACGGTTTTTGATCTAATTTCCGTCCTACTAAGCACAACCCGCATTTTACCTATCTTTTTTAAACGGGTTTGAACAAAAAATGGAATATCTCTGTCAAAGTTGACTTCTAAATTTATTCACTTTTCCATACGTGCCTGCCGTTGGATTTGATAAAGAGTCACTAATTGAAGAGATATTGTTCAACATCTAATACTGCTTCTTAATTCTAAATTCGTCCTATGAGTTTTAATTCCATCCAAACGCATTGAAACGCCATTAGATTTTCTTCATCCTACGGATAAACGAAGAAAAGGGGATTCGCTAGGAGCGCTTCTTTTGTTTTGAGAACAATGAGCGTAAATTTTCATACAATGCGCTCTAAAAGGATTTATGTTGTAGCTAATGAACTAACGCATCGGGACAAACATATTATTGATTTGTGCACGGTGAAATCATTGATAGTATTGTTCTTTTCTAATCGATAGAACGGAAATGGGTGATTACGACGAAGTAGCGCTCTACCCTATGCTCAACTTTTGCAACCTAACCCGTCCTAACCCTTTGTCTGTATATTTAGGCCACTTTGACTAACTACAACTTTTTTTCGCTTACAGAGTGTCACAATCAGCGGTTTTATGATTCGTAAGCGTTCACTCTGTCGCTTCATGTAAAAGTTTAAAAATCAGTGAAACCCCCAATTATCACAAAATTTATTCCGAACTTATACAGAATTTGTTCAGTTTACCCCATTTATTGATGAATAATAAAATTTAGAAATTTTCTTGATCTCTCACGTGTAACGGTCATTTGAAAATTTTACCGACTTGTTCTGCTGTTCAAAAACCCGGTAAAATCCTACCGACTTCGGTGATCTGAATTAAGTGTGTTCAGTAGTGATCAGTTTAGCATAATAAAGAGGACGAATGTACGAGCCATGTTCAGCAGTGAACAATTAAATTGGGAATTAACTGGTTTGAGAGCGAAAGATACAGTTGTGTAGAACTATTCTTTTGATGATAAATCAGGAGCGTTTTTATCAGATTGATTTTGTTTCCCTTTAGCAAAGTTGTTTATCTGGGTAAGACCGTTAAGGCAGTAAACAGTTTAGTTGCGAATTGAATTGTAAGGTGACGTCAGAGTGAATCTTTCAGCGATAATTCAGAATCGTGACTCGAAAGACGTTTTCTGTCATTGAAAGTTATCCAAATAATCGAGACCCATTCGGTAGTGATCAATTTAGATTGAAATTAACGCCTTAGTACCACAATTGTTCATCTAGTGATAACCAGATAGAAGATTCCTACCTTCAGTAGAGTAAAATAAAATAAGATACATTCGTTTAATAGTAAACAGTTAGCTAGCACTAAAAAACGAAAAAATGTTATTCAAGTTATAATTTCAGATCACTAAAATATAAAAAAAATCATCCAAAATTTTTAAATAGTGAAGAGCTTAAATCAAATTGACTCGTTAGGTGATGTCACAGTTCAAATAGAGTTCTTGTAATTATTGCAAAGGTTAGTGACAAAATCGCTGTTACTTGTCATTAGCAACGTTCTTGACATGGTAAGACCATTTTGGTAAAATGTTGATTTTGATTTATCTGATGGCCTTATTCCAACTTAAGGTTCCTAACTTGTATAAAGTTTATTTAAATGGATTCGATCCATCTAACAGTGAGCTGATTATTTTGTACTAGATTCTGTACTAGTTAATATATTATGTTCTCAAATCGCTATTTTACGCCTTTGCTCGTTATTTCGTTGACTTACTAAATGGCCAACAAACAATTTGAGTTGATTTACAACTGAATAAGCTATTTTTAAGCTGCAAAAGCTTATTTTTGCATTAAAAAGCTCTTATTGAATGTTTCCTGCGTTTTGGTCAGAGAGCGTATAGGGCATCGTTGTGCCAATTTGGTCGTGGCACATTTCAAGTACACACTAATATTATTTACCGAAATCTGTGATATTTTACCAAAATCTCATCAGCTGAACGTTCGGTAAACAGTTCGGTGATTTTTCACAGATTTTCTGTAATTTTTCACAGATATTCGGTGAAAAATTACAGGAAATCTGTGAAAAATCACCGAACTGTTTACCGAACGTTCAGCTGTTGAGATTTCGGTAAAATTTCACAGATTTCGGTGAAATAATCTTAGTGTGTATGAGAGAGTGATTGCAGTTAGATAAAAAGTGCCTGAGAAAAATGCAAGCACTTGCGCGGATTACCCGGAGTTCTAATAGTGCAGGTATGATCACAGACATGCAGACATAACATGCTTAATATGTTCATCAAAATCTCTTTTAACGGTAAATTTAAATGTTTCCTAGTTGATAGTACCGCCACTTGTGGCGCACATAATCAATTTACTTGCGTTTGACGATTACACACTACAGCCTTCTGTTGAGTGTATTGCCCATCACAGTGTATACGACATATAGCGGTAGGGTTTAAAATGATAAATATTCAATGTGTTTTGTATGTTTGTCTGTGATATGACATTCAGGTAACGTTAGGATAAAATCCAAACATTGAGAAATATAACGCATCACTTTCAAAAATACTTCACTTCGTAACCGATGAACCATTCTGACGGCCATATGAGTACCCAAGTAACCATTTAGTCGCAATATAGCTTGCATATTCTTACTTTGCTTCAGTATGGTTAGTTGGGGAATATGATGAAACTATCATTTCTTCAAATTAATCCCTTTTGTATTCCATTCATTCTCTTTTTCGCCCTTTGCATATAACACTCATACTAATCTCTACATTGATTGTACCAGCGATTTAAGACGCGAGCATTATGCCAGATGACCATCCCAATACAGCAGCAGATAGTGGACATGAGATCGACCGCACCAACCAGCAAGGAAGAGTAAACATCGAAACAGGTACGGAAATTAGTGCGGATTTATCTCCCTCGGAAAACAAAAAAACCCCGGAGAAGGCGGAACCAACCAAGGACGATCGACGGAAGGAAATTGCCGATGATACATGCGGGGCTTATTGTAAGTGAAAGTAACCTCGGAAAAGGGCGTGATTCTCCAGACATTCTGAAATGGGTTGCTGGATCTTCAACCTTCCGAACTAAACTTGTATACAATGACCATAAATGCTGCATTTTAGAAATTGTTCTTCCATAATAACACTGTCGGCCAGTGGGGGTTAGAAGGAATACACAACACACAATAAGCTCTTATTGAACATTCAATGTTTGTTTGGGTGGAGCACTTAAACAGTACTCAGTACTGAATAAAAATAAATACATCGTGATGTTTTTGACACTCTTTGAAAGTTAAAAAGTTATGCCAGTGGTGTAGTGGTAAGCGTGTTTACCTTTCATCCCAGCAGGCCTGGGCTCAATCCCAGTCGGCGCCACCAGGATGTTCTGAGGCATAACATCTCTGATCACGTCTTCCTTCGAAGGGAAGGAATCAAGGAAAAAAAAGAAAGTTTTAAAATATATTACTTTTCAGTTTGTGCATTAAAATTTCAGAAGTTTTGGCTGCTGTTTGATGAATTACTCTTAAAAATTCCATAGTAATTTGTGGCTTCATAAAGATAATTTAACGGAACAAGCTTTGAAATATTGTTTTTTATGTATTTCGTGTGTTAATGCTGAAAAAGCATCGAAAGTTGCTGATGGCTATTTTCATCATCACAATCCCACTATTTAGTGATCATCATTGATGGCACCTTCTTACCTCCGAAAACTCTGAGGATCTGCCATGGTCATAGCAGTCAAAAAGTTGAATATTTACCACGTTTTTCAATTTTCTTGAAAGAGCTTTTCTATTAAACGATGAAACGCAGGTAATTTACAGCTTTGAATATTTTGATTAATTCTACACGAGAGCAGTATAATTTTGCATTGAATCGTCAAATGAAATTTACTTCATTAGTAAAAAAAAAACCCCTTCCTTTTATTGAATTTGGGTTTCTACCAAGAAATAGTTTGATGTATGTATGTATGTATGATGTATGATTTGGTCCCCGGTTCATGAGTTGATGGGTCGATAGGTAGGGTCCAGGTGTGGGAGCTGCCTTCCTGGCACGTCGGTAGCATTGGTGCTCAGCACGGAAAACAAGATTGACGAAAAAAAACAAACAAAAGGAAAAAAAAAAAAAAAAAACTCTGGAGAGCATTTTGTGTGGTCGTTGGGGGCCTGTGGTTCTGAATATGGACGGCACAGATAAATTCTATTCCAACTCTTTACTGTTATAAGCTTGATGGCCCTGAAAAGAGCCGTTTTATTGAAGAGGACATCCATGGTCACTTACGCTTGGTGGGTTTAGTGTAGGTGACAGCATCACCTCATTTTCCAGGAACACCTTCAGCACACCTCGTAGACCGGAGATACGTTTGACACCGCCACGGCGAGCCAGACGACGGATGGTGGTTATCTTGAAGAACTTTGCGATGACGCTTGGCACCTCCTTTACCAGACCTTTTCCTCCTTTTCCACGACCAGTCAATTGTTGCTTGTTGGGTGTGAAGGAGTGGACTAGCCACCACCTTCCTACACACTAAGATTTTGTTTCCGTTTTCGGTAAATTTTACCGAAATCAAAACAGCTGAACGTTCGGTAAAACTTTGACTTTCATTGAATTTGAAAATAATGTTCAACCTTGTTTAAAAGATCATATCTTGTCATTTTAGTGGAGATTTAGTTTCAAAGTAGCTGAAAAGCAATTGAATTGAATTGCATAAATTGTACCGAATAGTTCAGCTGTTCAGTTTTCCTTAAAAATTATCGAAGTCGGCGATAATTTCTAAGTGTGTACTCCTTGTATTGCTGCTCACCACGCCGTCTGAAGCGAAAATGAACTAATGCCATACAGCAGCGCTCTTTTATATCTTTTCTGGTTAAAGCAGACTGATGTGCAACCAAGTGGTACTCGATTATGAGGACTGGGTTTGGGAAGAACGTTTATTTCATGAAAACAGTGATAACATTATAACTTTTTATTTGTAAATTGGACAATGCTTGACATTACCACTTTTTATATACTTTCATCATTCGGAAGCAACGTGTGTCGGAAGATTTCTGATCGATTGATTATAAAATTATTGAAATTGGTCCAGAAGCAGCTGAGTAATTAATGTTAAAAATCTTTCATAATTTTGTTTCATGTTCCATTTTCGGTTTTCACAAAGTGTACCCCCAGTATAGAAATGAAAGACGTACGCCTAGTTCTTACTTCATACAGATTAAGCCAATCAAGACACAAATTATACTTATAAACCTTGAATACTTCATCATCCAGCAGCAAGAAATTTGAGAAATTGTGATGCAAAAAAAAAAATGCTCAGTCACAGCACTTTGAACTTCCATGGAGAGACAAAACAAATCACGGTGTTTTATTTTTGTATGTCCAATATTTCAAGAAAAATTCTATAAATTAATCTCCTTTGTGGTTCTGGAGGATTGTATGAGGGATTGCTGAACATCACTATCCACAACCAACCAATCAATCCCAGATGACTTTCGGTGAATCACCAGAGTTAGTCTGGAGAACCAAGGGCAATTCTATAGAAAATCAAATGAAATTTTAGAGTATAACAAGTGCCATTCTCATACAGACAGTAAATCCAAATAACTCCAAGGAAAACTTTTAAGAATCCCAACCGAAATGCCATAGATAGGTACTGAAGTGCCTAACAATGAATTCCAATGAATTCTGCGAGTTATATCAGAAAATTTGGAAAATATCAGCATTTAAATTTCTGATTCGGAATGTCCGTAGGGTGGATACTAGCAAACTTCCATAGTATTTCTGGAAAATCCAAAAGCACACATAGAAAATTACAGAAAATTTTTAAAATCTCACTATTTAATACATAGATTGCAAATAATAATACATTCCGTATTATGCCAACATAAATATTCTCAACAGAACGGAAACAGAAACGACGCAATAAAGTGCTCTAATTGAGTGATTTGGTCAAATGAATACAATAGTTTACGTTACTCGCTCCATAAGATAAGCAGGGGAAAATAGAGAAAATTTGTTTTATTTGTGATTGAATGATTGATAATCTTGCTTACAAAGCAAGATTTAAATATTGAGATAACCTTTCCTATTAAGCAACATGATATCAATACTATCCACCCATCTAAATTTAGAAATATTTATGATGTAGCTTAGTTAGTTTTTCATGATGAATGATATTCACAATAACACCAGTACCATCCAATTGGAAAACACATTCAAATAAACACTTGAATGATTAACATTTGATCAGAGGAGCTTTTAGTAAAATCAAAACGATCTCCGGGTCTATTTCAGTTGGTCAACATATTAACTCTGAAGGATCTTCAGGGTTTCCCCCGAATCAGGATCCCCAAGCTCACCAAAACGGTGAGCATTTTTCCGTTCAATACGGTAGTTCGAGAATCAGAACTTGAAATGACACTATGAGGATACAATACCAAGTAAAATTATTCATCATAGAAGTAAGCTCATCAGAATCCAACAGGTTTCACCATTCACCATTCTAGCACTCCTGTTGTGCTTCAAAAACACGTTCTGTAATCCAAGTTGCCGAATCGAAATCGCATTTTCCCATTCATGCTTGTCCGAAATGCTGTAACAGGGAACATCTAGCATATCTACATACCGACCGATAGCACGGCAGTCAGTTCCACCCAATATCATTATCGCAAAAGACGCCAACCGTGCGTAATGCCCTGTGTTTGTCTAATTTTCCTCGCTTTTCGCTGTCTGTTGCGAAGGGCTTTTAAATACGGATGACGTCATAAGAAGGGGAGAATTCCGTCGCCGTAATTAGGCAGAATGTCACAACAGCTGAAATTATGATTTAAAGCGATGCCGTTTTTCTGTTTGATTTTTTTTAAGACTTACCCCGTTGGCGATACTCGTCGAAATCCATCTTGTTTGCTGCCAACTGGATCCAGTCGCGTCGTCGTCTGCCGAGTGTATGACTAATAGGCTCACGTTAATCAAAACGCTTTCAGGATGGATGGAAGAAAATGAGATGTTTTCCTTTTACTCCAACGTTATCCGTCGTGGGAAGAAATATAATTATCACTCAGCTATCACCACCACTGAATGACTGCACAGAAGCACACCTGAACAGCACTGAACGGAAATATGTTGATTAAAAGTAGGACCAGATCACCAGGAGTATCACTTTGAGGAGGGTTTGTGTCTTCTGATTTTACCGACCAACTAATTAACTTACATTAAGTTTATCCACAACCCAGGGCTAGGAAATCGTCAGGAAGAACCTGTTGGTTGAACTATTCGCGGAAATCGACTGAGCTCCGGAGCTAAGAGGTATCAATTCCAAACTGATGGTTTTTGTTCGTTCTTAAGGTAACGTGATCGACCATGCCAATTACACGGAGGGAATGCCCGGCACACCACAATAGAATGCGTACCTTAAAGTTCCGGACCGATGGTTACTGTTCCGCCCAGCTATAAGCAGTGATAGCATTTGGTAAATGTAAAGCAACAGAAGTGTCACATGGCACTTTAGGACGATTTGGTGTCGAACATACTGTACTTCTGGGGAAAAGTGCACTTGGAAGGATTCGGCACCTTGACCAGTTGCATACTGAACAAAAGCGAAACGATGGTTATAATCATTGCTCGAATGTCTTGGAACAACTTTGATAGGAGCTTTTCAATTGTTTTGCGTGTGAAAAATCAATCATTTTATTCTATCAAAGCCTTGAACATCATTTTATCAATTTTGGATAATTTTCAATTGCCACTTCAAAACATCAATTCACTCAGTCAACACAACCTGGTCAAAAACGTACAGGTGTGAACGAGAAGTCCTCCCAATTCTAGCTAGAACTACAGCCAAGATATGTTTCTTCAAATCATTTAGCTAATAATCCGGGAGCTGCGCAAACCTTTCAAGCTGATCATCATCACCATTCACCGGTCGTTGGTAGCATCAAAAACACTCCTGAGGAGCACAAACGAGAACACACCTTCGTGTTTTTTTTCAATTCAACCCAAGACACGCAACTTGATCATGGGGCAGTTTGGGGAGATTGTCACCGGCAGGATTTGCATTTAATAAAGTGTACATAAAACGACACGAGAAAACTAATGTGAAACGGTTGAATACATACCGATAACTGAAGTGGACTGTATTGAAATGGCAAACAATTCAGGCAGGTGGGACGAAATAAATTTGAATACTTAATTCGTTATCTCCTTTCTTGTTTTTCTTTTTGGCGTTAATCGAACGGTTTCGTTAGCAGACAATTACCAAATGCCAATACTAGAAGGTAGGGTGGTTTTGACGCGTGGACAGTAATGCTAAGTTATTGGGCATGTTTAATATTTATATTTTGAACTATCGATTATAATGAAAGTTTTTGGCTAGAGGCTTGTTTTTGGTTGAGGTTGGGTGGAAGGTGAAAAGAAATCACTAGCATCTTGATAATGTATGAATATTGTTTTGTCATCAGGGTTTTGTATATGTCATACCATTACGTTTAGATAAGGTTAGGTTTAATTTATTAGAGAGACTTTCAGCCTGGTTCACCTCCGATTACATTTAGATCCTGATGTTAGCAATACAGCAAGTTTACTATTCTTTAGATCTAGAATTATAATCATAATTTTGAATTTTAAGTTATTGGGATTCTGGCAGATTTGAAGCACCAAATATAAAGCTACGAAATTCAGTGTTTGGCCTTTCCTTTATATGTCATAACAAACTTCAAAATTTTCATCTTAAGGTGAATTGCTGCGTCATCCTTATTTTCGAAACCAATTCGAAACAAATATCAGCATCTACGACACGTGCAACATTCAAATTGTTTCTCCACGTTTGCTGCATTCCAGCATACATGAAGTAGCAATTTCAGGTGAAATGGGGCACTGATTTCCGAGATTTGTGTAATTGAAATATCGAAGTGGAAGTGCATGCATAGCCTACGTAGCGTCCATTTGTGAAAATCTTTTTTTTTTTATCTAGTTCGTTTATTTGGAAGGCTCAATCGCGTTAGCTTTACGGAGCCGATAATTCATTGTTCACTGTGTGTAACAAAATTCACTTAATTCTATGTCTAGTAGGAGTTGGGCCGATTACTCGCGGCTTACTCGAGGTTAGAAGGGTACATTTTCGAAGGATAGGATCAGGGGAGGAGCTTGGGGTAGGGTTTCGTTGTCTCATCAGAGCGTTGTCACCAGTATGAACGGTAGTGCTGTTCTAGCTTCGTCCGGAGTTCGACCGGCTATGGTGGGTGACCAGTGGGCGACGATGAGACTCATCGAGACGGGGGGACAAGACAAACAAAAAGTAATAAAGAGAGACAAAAGACAAAAGGAATTAAATTCTTATACTAGACATTTGAAGAAAAACATAAACGGACTGCATATAGCAGAGATCACGGGTTGCCAACACGTCTCTGATAGGAACATAGGGTTGTCTTCCTTGGGCCTCGAGGGTATTCAAAAGTCGCTCTCTGGCGGCGTCATTATCCGTACATTGCCAAACTGCGTGTTCGATGTCATCGTAACCGTTTCCACACCGACAGATGTTGCTGTCCACGAGGTTTATTCTATTGAGATGAGCATCTAGCGAGTAGTGGTTGGACATAAGTCTACTCATCACGCGAATGAAGTCACGACTTAAGCCCAAGCCTTTAAACCACGCTCTCGAAGAAACATTAGGAATAATTGAATGTAACCACCGTCCAAGATTTCCAGTGTCCCAATCGGTTTGCCAACTCGAAAAGGTACTCTGACGCACTAAATGGTAAAATTCATCGTGTGAAATTTGCTTGTCATACAATTCGCCTTCCTGTGCGCCCACCTTTGCGAGAGAGTCCGCCTTCTCATTGCCTGGGATTGAGCAATGTGAGGGGACCCATACAAAGATAATCATATATGATCTTTCGACCAGCACACACATCTGCTCCCTTACCTTTGAAAGGAAATAAGATGAGTGCCTACCTTGTTTCATCGACCGAATAGCCTCAATCGAACTGAGACTATCCGAGAAGATGAAGTAATGGTCTATGGGCATATCGGAAATCATCCCCAATGCGAAGTTGATTGCTGCTAGCTCAGCAACATAAACGGAACAAGGTTCCTGAAGTTTCCGAAAGGCGGTTGAGTATTCATTGAAGACGCCGAAGCCAGTGGATCCATCAATGCGTGATCCATCAGAAAGTAGCTGGTTTTGAAATATATGACCAAAAGCTTGTATTGACATCTCATTACTGAAGGTAAATTGATGCAAAATTATTAACTCGCATTGATAGAAACTGTAAATCTCAGACCATCAGACAAACAATGATATTATCTGTAAATCACTAATATAAATAATGTGTGTAAAGATAACGTTGTTGCTGTGAACTAAGTGGTGTTATGGTGAAATACTATTAGAATAATCCTACATAACAGATAGTAGCTAGTGCATTCGTTTCCCAAATTGGTCCATTGTTTGTGCTGTTTGGCCGTGTCTCCACTTGAGTTTTCTGCTGTTGCCGTTGTTGCTGTTGCTACCGTTGTCAAATGTAAGAATATTGTTGGTAATGTGGTGCGTCGTATGAGAGAAAACAATTACTTTTGCTCATCAGATTGTTCTTCGATCTACCAGCGAATTTTAGCGATGCAGAATAGTTATCATTCCATGGTGGCTTCCCTTGCTGCTGAGATGAAGGCAACCATTTCAGCCTCAATTGCTAAGGAAATACAATCAGTTACAACTGAAGTCAGGCAGATTACTACCAAAATCAAAAAATCCCAGGATTTTTTATCCGTTATGTTTGATGAGATTGTTACCGATTTTAAGGAACTCAAGTTAGAAAATGAAAAGTAAAAAGGTAAAAAATATCATTTGAAGAAGTCACAAAATTCGTTTAAGGGTTATGTTCATAACATGGAAGCCAATGTCAACAAGTCAGACAAAGCTGCCATATGTAATAATGCAGTAGTATGGGTTATCCCAACCACTTCCGATGAAAATTTGTCCCAGTTAATTGAAAAACTACTCCTGGAGATTCTCACGAACTGCTGAATATAAAATACATTTGGGCGGGTAGTGGTAGCATCATATTGGCTAATAAGGATGACAATAGCAAACCAGAATTGGTAAAAAACAGAGAAGATCCTAGCCGTGTCAAGAGTTTTTTATGAAACCTGCACGTGAGACTGAATCTCCTTCGTCGAAGCGGACGAAAAATACACATTAATATCAACTTGCGCTCTTTGTTTTTGCTTTCTGTTATGTTTCTATGTGAGTAAAATGGATTCTACACCAATTATGGTTTTGAATCAATATTATGATAATTTGCATGATTTTAATAAGAAAAATGCGATATGGATGGCACTAATCGTTTGAATATAATTCAGTCGAATGTTAGAGGGGTTAATAATTTTGAAAAATTTTATGAAGTGATTTATTCGTGAATGAATGTAAAATGGATATTGATGTTATTGTTGTCGGTGAAACTTGGATGAAGAAGGAGAATAGCGGTATTAACAATATTCCAGGCTATCGCCAACAAACAATTCAAAGTCACAAATTGGCATACATATTGAATAAAAGGTGTATAACATTGTACAATGCTGAATAAAACAAGATGTCGAATAATGTGCTGAAAAAAGCTCATTGAGATCGATAGATGCACCTTTATTCTGCTGTTTGCTCTGATATGATTAATTTACTCATTAAAAGCTTTATAAACGTTGACTGTCTTCCTGATTCAGAACCAGAAGTATGATCTAATAACAAAACTGAATAAGTGTAATTTGCACATACGGCGACGCTTTAATTCGACTGTTCTCAATTAATTTAATTACATGCTTTATTAGACGTCTTATAAATGTTTTCTAGCTCCATTATTAGATTTCATTGTATTGCATTACAATATTGCTGTGTAAAGGTGAATACAGTCAGCAAAATAGCTCTTATACCACTATGCGTCCATGTTTTAATTGCATGCATTGTAAATGCTTTATAAACGACGAATTAGATTCATTATTCCACAACACTGGTTCAGTCTAACAACTAGACGAAATCAGTAGAGTAGTGGTTACCGTTTTCACTTTCCTAGTAGAACGTCGAGAGTTCAATCCCAAGGGCAACCCTTTTTTTACTTGTGTTCTAAATCGTAATCATCGATCACATCACTCACGACAACACATTTATCGATTTAGCAGCCTTTCTTTGGAAATTTGAGAGGTTTTTTTTTTTTCCTTTGGTTTGTTTTTTCCGTCGATCTTGTTTTCCGTGCTGAGCACCAATGCTACCGACGTGCCAGGAAGGC